GAAAAACTTTCCAATCCACAGCGATGGGTTTGAGCCCAGCTATTTGATTTCTGCAATCAATTAATTCTAGTGAATTCCTGAAGAAGTCACTAATTGAAAAAATAACGGCAGCTAAGATAAAGTTAACAGACAACAATGTTCAGTCTCAAAATTTGCATAGTCTCTCCAGAAAATGTGCAATCTGGACAGTTGCAACAGCTACTGAAAGTTAGAGTCAGCATGGCAGAAAGCAGAAGCTCGTTACATGTCTAGACAAAACCAGCCTGTGCTCACAACTACAGAACGTTCAAAAGAAACGCATCGCCCGAGATCTGCCAACAAAGAATTATTCAGCAAATAATTTCAAAGAAGAGATAACATTTTCATTAAAAAAAAAAATAAATAAATGAAAAAAAGCAAAATGCTTCTTACTTCATAAACAGAAATCAGGGAGAAATTAAATCACCAAATTATCTGCTACAGTTTCGCACTGTAAGCACAACCGCTCTGATCCTCTTTAGCAAGTACACAACTGGAAATGAGAAGCAGAAGATGGAACTGTCTCAGCAGCACAGGCGAAAAGATTTTCTTGCTTTTTCTTTTGCAAGGGCAGCCAGAATATCAAGCCTGATGTTTAATCAGATGTACTGTTGGCTCCGGAGGGAGAATTGAGAGGGTATTTCAAATTACTGAAATTGGAAAAAAATCCACCTAATTCTTGGAATTCCCTCTTCAAAAAACAATGTAGATCTCCTGGGCCAGAAATGCCTGGAAGAACGTGTAATAGAGATAGATGGCACACATGAGGATTAAGGTTCCATATTAAATACGCCATAGATATCCACTGTTATTCTGTGATAAACAATCATTTTTTAAACTCACTCTCATCACTGTATTGTGTTCTCTGTCCATGTCCGCTCACTCTGAGGATGTTCTATCACGAATTTTCCAGTCTTCGGTTTTGTTTCTTTTAGAGGATTTTGAGCTGCAAATGTTACGATTGGAGCTTGCACTCAAAAGTAGCTCCCTTGAGCGCTATATTGTGGTAAAAAGGATTTCTCTCTGAGGATGGCGGCTCCTGCGTCGTTCTCTGCCTTGTCCCTTTTCCCTGTCCTCCCACCACCTGTGCAGGGCTGGAGGAAGACAGTTGAGGAAAGCGAGCCCAGAATTCTTGCTGCTGAAGAAAAAGCCATCAAAGCCGGAATGCCTGACCTCAGAAAACCGTTTCTCATTTGCACTCTCTGTACTATGCTCCTGATGGCTGCTCCAAGGCCCCCTCTCCTTGGAGATAATGTCCCTCTCTTCTTTCACGTTGTTAGTTCACTTAGCTATTTCTTCCTAAATAAACCACTCTAAATAAATAAACTTCTGGGATTAAGGAGCGTTTTGATGACATGAGCTAGCTAGAAGAAGGAATACGGTGACCTTGATACATAAAAAGCCGTAAGTCCTTTTCACAGGGAAAGCATGAATTACAGATCTTGCCAAAACCCAATCTAAGAAAAATTCCACCCTTTACCCAGGAGACATTTGAGTTTTAATTATCTCTTTCAGAGTCCCTAGACTTTCCTTCTCTTGTATCTATTTTTGCCTGCTCATTCTAATCAGCGAAGAGACAGTGAAAACAGAATTTGTCCATCACTTCTGTCAGCTTCACGGTATCCATCCCCACGTGAACTGTTGTTTGGTTAGTGCCCACTTCAAATTCAGGCAGAAAAAAATGGTTTCCTGAAGATTAGTCATCCTTATTAGCATTCCCACTGTACTGCTACGGCAAAGTATTTAATATTAATGACCACTGATATTCCCGCACTGTTTGTCCTGCATCCACAGTGCTTGGTCTCAACGTGGGGAGGAAAAGCAAAAGCAAAGGAACATTACAGTCTCATAACCAAAACGGTGCATAGAAAACAAAATGGATTTTCTAATATAATATTCACTAAATCATGGAAAGCGATGAGCAAAACCTACAGTGCATGCAGGCACTGAGCGGTGGCGGTGGTGTAGTAAGCGGGAATCTGAGTCGTTTCTGGATTAATGCTCTAACACAGTGCCAGGGGACACTGTGCTGCTGGAGATATCATTATTTCTCTGAGATGTTTTGTCATTTATATCGCACGTTACATTCAAGAAGACGACAATGTCCCTATTCCAAAGAGAACGAAATCAAAAGGCCGGATTGCAACTTGACCCTAGAGGGGCGTAAGAGGGAATAAAATATATCTGGTGCACCTTTGAGCAGAATTCAGTTCAAGCACAGGGGTGGGGGAGTTGAGAGGACATCTCTCCAACACCTGCTCCACCGGCTGAGCAGAGAGGAGAGACATGAGAAAGGCAGAAAGGCTCCACTCTCCTCTTCTCCCACGCCAGATTGTGAAAGCAGTAATGGCAGATTGGCTATTGTGTTGATATATTGTATGCGGAGGCTCAAAGGTTCTCCCACCTTCCCCGGTTCAGCTACATGCATGTGTGTTCCAGTCAGACCCCATTTAGAAAGAGACAATAATAAGAAATGATAGACTACCAATAAAAGACAAGGAAAAAGCACAAATCCTGCCTATTATAAGAACCCATAAAACTTTTCCTAAGACACAGCATGCAAGACATGATGTTTGATTTAAATTTCTGATTAAATAAATACATTCTGCCTACCTAAAATTCATTTCTTGTTTTGATTTGACGAGTGCATCATGCTTGGTTTCGATTTAGTGCAATGAAGAATATTCTATTAAAACAGAATTTGTATGTGGTAAAACTCATTTAAGAAATAATGTGATGTACATATGTCTCCCTGGTTTCCAACAAGAACCCCGCAGCTTTCCCCCATGGCCTATGTCTCCTGCAGAACACTGTCACCATATCCCTCCTGGCTCTTCCAGCCTGAAATACTACTACTCTTCCCCGAGCACAGCAGTTCACCCTGGGAGCTTTGTTGACAGCTCACTGCGAAACACTTGGGAAAGATACCTGACGATGCGGGACATTGGCAGCTGGAGAGGAGGGGAGGCGATTTTCAGGTGAGGGGGATGGCGATCTACCCCAAAGAGTTGACACGCAGCCTTAATTTGACCATTAGTATCTCAGCAATACAAACCAAATCAGATAATCATAGCATTTACAACTCTTTAGGAAATTACTACCCTAGATAAGCCATTTACACGCTTTTGTCTAAATATGATCCCAAGACATGAAGTTATTATTTCCAACTGAACCGTCTATTTTCCAACGTCAACAAACATCAGATACAACATGGAAGAGGAAAGAAGTGCCGGTACTGTGTTGATTATCACAGCACGCACACAAATAACGTTCCAGTGCAAACTTAAGGGGTCATTTAAGTAATTATCTAAATCATGTACAGAGATATCATGACCTGGGACTCAAACTAACGACTACGTGTAGACCAGCGATCCCCAACCTTTTCTGACCCCAGACAATAACTCGTTCAGCATTGTGTTGTGGGCAGCATCATACTTTACTCTCCCTAATGGCTTTCAGCTTTAACTTTTTAATTTCCTGTAGGTCTCAGCAGTATGAGAAGGTCTCCCAAGCTTTTTGTTGCTCACTAACCCGTGCGCCGGGGACCAGGGACTCATGAGTGAGGGGTGGTAGATGAAGTATTATCTGACTTGGCTGCTGATTTCCCCACTTGTTATGGTTTTGGGGGTGGGATATGGAGCCTTGCAACCCTAATTGCATGTGGCCTTCTCTTCTTTTTTCCTAGAAATGAAAGTAATACCTGTGACTCTGCTTACAGGTGCACACGTACACGCACGCACACACCCCAGGCCTCCAGGTGTACCATCAACAGCATGATGTGTCCTGCAAACACCTGAGAATTATTTCTGCTTTCTCATTTAAACTGGAAGAGGGCACGTTTAGATCAAACATTAGGAAGAAATTTTTTACTTTGAGGGTGGTGAGGCACTGGAACAGGTTGCCCAGAGAGGTTGTTGAGGCCCCATCCCTGGAGGTGTTCAAGGCCAGGCTGGACGTGGCCTTGGGCAACCTGGTCTGGTGGGAGGTGTCCCTGCCCATGGCAGGGGGGTTGGAACTCTATGATCTTTAAGGTCTTTTCCAACCTAAACCATTCTACGATTTAAAACCAACAGAGTTGGCAGGGTGGGTGGATGGGGTTGAAAATAAAGATGTTGCCCCAGTGTCTTGCAGCAGGATGGACCGATGGAGAGCCTCATCCAGAGTGGCACAACTCCATGGCTGCCCCCGAGCCCCTCATATATCATAGTATATAATAACAGTGATAATAACAACAACAATAGATGTCTGTTGATGTTCCCTCCTGCCCGCAGCTCCCATAGGGCTCTCTAGAAATAAAACCAGCGATGAATTAATTACGGAGAGGGGGATCTCCGGCGGGAAGGGACCCCTCGGGCCCTGCTCCCCGCTACCCCCGGGGGGACCCCGGCCTCTCCCCGCCCTGCCCTGGGGCACGACCGCC